AAATTTGTTTTTGTATAATAAACAATTATGATAATTTGCACAATAAATGAAATGGAAAGTAAATAAAACAAACAAATTGTTTTTTTTATTTTCAAATAATGTTAAATTAAAATTAGAAATGATATAAAATAACAAATTTATTAAAATAAAATTCATTTAGTAGTTTACAAGCGGGTTGTTTCAGCAGTATACATCGCATACGTGTTTGTTTACGTGTGTAAAAAATTTTCTCAACAATAAAAATTAAATGAAAGTTTTTTAAGTTCAAAATTTAATTCTCTGTTTTCATTGATGTCTTGCTTCATGAAATCTTTTTTGGCTGTTCGCCTAGCAAGATGATCTAATTACCTTGTTGGCATGATTGCCTTGTGATACTTGGGATCATAGTACCACATCATTGGAGAATACTGATGAAAAGTACTAAGAAATATACGATTGTCGAAGAGTTCCTAGCTAATAATCAAAAGAAAAAATTCAAAATAGTGCATATTTCAGATGCCGCTGACTAGGCGTGCGATCTCACCGGTTAACGTAAGCCTTCATCGTTTGCCATCTTCGATACAGCACGATGAGTTGGAATGCGTTGCCAATGGTACTCTAGCAAATCTAATTCGACAACTGAGTTCGTTAAGTCGACATGCTGAGCATATTTTCGGCGAAGTTTATCACGAGGCCGTGAAATTGGATCATAAAACAAATACTTTATCGCAAAGGATTGAAAGATTGACGCACAAGGTGGCACAACTGGACTACACGCAAGAGCAAGGTTCTTTTATTTTTGTAGATTGGATGTTTAAATTAACAACGTGGAAAATGAGCTGAAGTTTATCGTCATTAGCGTCACAGTAAACCTGATTCAATAACTCTATATTCTTTGAACTTTGCATATGGTGATGGGAACGTCAACATTATATTTCAGTGTCACTTGAAGACTTGCATATGCGAAAACCATTCAAAAGTAGCTGTATAATCGATCAGCATACACTAGATCGTCAGACGTTGCCTTCTGCTTTAGCAGAATGTTATGCTGCTTGTGATCCACCACCCAGTTTGGATGCTCTAAATCCTTACAGAGATGACAAGAAGAATGGACTTAGGTTGATTTTATCAGATGTTTCTGTTCTCATTACTGAATATCAGAAAGACTGTGTTTTGATATTATATAAAAGTGATAAGATAAGTTTCATGCATGTATTGTAGGTATTATACTGATCCATCATATTTCTTCGATTTATGGAGACAAGAGATGCTGAAGGACGTTGGTGATGGACGCCGTGGACGTTCTATCAGATCACCAGCAGAAAACAAAAATCCTCGAAAGAAACGTAATCGTCAGTCTGTGACGAATAATATCGGAAAGAATTCCATTCCAAGGTTGAAACTGTATCCATTTTAGTGCTTATGCTCTTTTTTCATCCCACATGATAGATTTCGTTTTATAATAAGAGTATTGGTATGGTTTGCATTATATTTTCAGATATTCTGTCGCATCTCAACAACGTCCTGCAGACATCATGCATTTTCCAGCAGAATATCAGGCACCTCAGATAGTGCATATTGATCAAGTCCGCGCACCAGCTGGTATGAGCGTACCTGCTAGTAATGGATATGTTACCACGATTCCAAATAAAGCCTCAGTCGCGCCTTTTTCTTCGCCTGTCAAAGAGGCAGGATTTTTTGAGTTTACAATTAACATCAAAAATATTAGTGAGATTATCTGTTTGGAATGCAGTTGTACTCATTTACTGATGTTGAAACTTCTTTGTTGCTGTTTTAAAACTAAGTCAAATTTCAGGAATCGCCAGTTGTTTTAGATGATAACCAAATAGCTGGTCAGTTGGCCGACATCGATTTGCAAGACGATTCTCTTTTAGAGGATGATCTTCCTCCACCACCACCACCCCTCATGCATACCTCACTAGTTTGCCAGATGCCCTCTCCACCTACAATGCAGTATGTTGCCCCATCTGCCAATTCTGTTCCACCACCACCTCCTCCTCCTCCTCCTCCTCCTCCTCCTCCACCACCACCATCATCCGGTGTTACCTCCGTTGCAGCAACTACCCAGTCGCCCATCGTTGTTGCATCTTTTGCTAATAAAGAAGAAGTAAAAACGAAGCATTCGCTACCAAAGTTTCTGATACACGTTCGAATCTACTCGCTGAAATACAGTCTGGCATAAAACTCAAGCAGGTAAGACAGACTGTTTTGGTCACCGTCAAGTTGTAGGACTTTCTTTGTGAAATGCCGAATTTGGCAAAATGTATTTTGTAGGTGCAGAGGAAAGAACAAGCAGCAGAGGAAAAAGCAGCTGCAGAAGCAAATGATGTTGCGGCCATATTGCGTCGTAGGATGGAACATATTTTGGGACATTCCGATAGCAATAGCGAATCTCCAACAGATGATGATGAAGAATGGGACTAGTTAATATGATCTTGTTCCATTAACCCATAGGGTTATGAATGAATGTGCCTTCTAGCCTTAGTAATTAAAATTGTTTTAGAACCATTTTGACTCGGTTATGTTAGGATATTTGATCAGTTTTCTACTACCAGTTAGGGAAAACTATCTAATCTAATTAATTTGCGCTCAGATCTTTCTGCTCTTTGAGTTGCTAGTCGTAACTTTGATTAGATGTTCAAATTGAACTTAATGACTTAACGAGACATTAATAAACGAAATATATAGTGTGTTATGTACTTGAACGCACACAAAAAAAGTATGTAGTGTACTATGTACTTGAACATACACCCTAAACATTTTATTGGTTCTTCGAGAACTTAGGTTGTAGATGCTTTTATATTGGTTGACCGTGCTCGTGTATTGGATAGTGGAACATGAGGAATAGTTGCTATGAAGAAGAGATATAATAGTTTGTGGCTCTTTATATTTGTTTGAAGCCTGTATTTATTTCTTATGTGGAAACAAATTTATTTTTATGTTTTATGTGAGTCGAGTAACAGCAAAATTCACTTATCGCTGAATATTGCTGTTATTCGACTACTGATTCTAGTCCAAGTATTATTACTTAGGTCGTACGATAAACATAAGCTATGATTCCATTTTTCATGGCTCTATAAATGTGTTTAACCGTTTGATTCATCCATTGTTTAACTCCCCCTCCACCCTAAGTTGATTTATTCAGTGATATCATTATTTTATTGTTGTTGCTGACTGTAATGTTTGCAGTACGTCCGTTCACATTATTGCTTTTTCTGGGTATTTCTTAATTTACAGGTCTCTTCTTGTGAACAATACTTATAACAAGGTTATGGAACTTTGTTATTGTTTTATTTGTCATCAGTTTTTATATTAAATGTATTTCGATTCTTGAATTCCACATTTGTTGAGAATTGCAGAATATTTCGCTTATTTTCGCTGTAGGTACTGTGACATTTTTGAAATATTTGGAATTACAGTCATCATATCTGCTCTTTATATTCTGTTATCACACTTATTTTTCCTTAGGTCATTGTTATGGCCATCAGTATTGTCAAGAACTTTTGCAGCATGTGTAAAAAACAAATTGTTGATGCGATAAAAAGTATCAAAAGAATTGCAGTGCAGAAATTTGTCACTGGTCTGCAGGAACGTGAAGCAAAATGTATTAGAGATCGAATAGAAAAGGTAATACTTCGTTTATATATTGGTCGTTGAAGCAAACGAAATGAGCGTTTGAGAAAAGTTATATGATGAATTTAAGATGTTAGCGTTCCAATAAGCATATGATGTTCACATTCGGTTTTAATTAACTGATCTTTTTGATAGTCTAGCTGTTTGATCATTCTATTTGTTGATAGTCTAGCTGTTCGATCATTCTGTTTGTGGTGGCAAATATAAACGAAGTATTTTGTTGGTAACGGCATATAAGGCACTCGGTGGGAAACAAGATGAAGAACAAATGAAAATGATAACAAATACAGCAGCCTGTTTGGAACTTTTGCAAAGCTTTTTCCTCATCGAGGATGATGTAATGGATGAAGGTGTTAACAGGAGAGGCAAACCATGTTGGCATCGATTGGTTGTTTTTCCTTTTCATTCGATGAGTTGGTTCTGCTTAGTCTGTTGGTCATGTTTATATCTTTGAAATCCTTATTTTCCATCTCATATATTTAATCATGCTAAAGCTTTGTACACTAAAGCTCTGTCTCGAAAAAAGATCTTTGTGGTTAAGAAGTAGCCCTACGTATCATATTTAGTCGACATGTTTGATAACTTTTTGAAAGATTCTTAGGAAGGGATAGGAATGAACGGAATCAATGACGGACTGCTGCTGGATTGCATGGTGTCGTACACCTTGCGCAGTAATCGAATCCCGGCCGCAGTTAGAGATGCTTTTGATGAAGTATGCTTTATGACTTAGCAGCTCTTTTCGTCATTTGGTGTTTTGAAAGTTGAAAAATGAATATTGCTGGTTGGAAGTTTTTCCTACTTCTGTTATTTTGGGGAGGGCAACCACTCATTTCTGTTCAAAAATATTTTTTTAAGGCTCGGCGTGTTACGGTCCTTGGGCAAATACTTGACAGTGATACAAAAGGTGTTGAAGACTGCACTTGGCAAAGGTTATTTTACACTCTAGGGAATTTTTAAATCATTTTAGTAACTATATTTTGCCATTCGATTTCAGACATCGGACAATAACGCAGCACAAGACATCGCATTATACTTATTTCACACCATTGCAAATTGCAGCTCTTTCAACTGCACAACCTTTGATCATTGAACCATTGAAACGGATCGCGTACCAACTTGGTTATCTCTTCCAGTCTAAGGTACTTTTTTCATTAAATTTGGAAACCAACGTAAACTCTATCAAAGATTAGAAGGATTAGAAGGCTTCATAACGTTCCTTCATCATTTTTATAGGCATTCCTTGGGTGCAAAAGTTTGACTATTCGTGTTACTAAGATTCTAATGAGAGTACAGCTATTTCATCCTTCCATTTGTAAAAATTTTTTAGCTCTTTAGGATGATTACATGGATTGTTTTGGCGATAAATCAATAATGGGCAAGGTAGGAAATGACTTGAGGGGAGCGAAGTGCACATGGGTCACCTGCAAAGCAGTAGAGAAACTGATAAATCAGCCAAGCTTCCTGGTAGATTTTCAGGTAATATTTTGCGTCGACTATCTAAATTGTATCAAATACGAATTAGTTAATCAAACAAGCAGAAGGTCTTTTTGTATCCCTTAAGAAACAGTTATTTCCAGGAACATTTTGGTAAACGAAGTATTACTTCGGAACGAAGACTGAAAGATATTCTGACGCATTTGCGGGTAGCAGATGATTTCCCCTTATTTCGTGAAAGATGCGCGGTTGAAATACTCAACAGTATTGATCATTTTCCGATGATAGATCTTAGACCAATCCTACGACAATCAGTCGATGATTTAGTGAATGCGAACCTCTGTTAAATTATTTTTTATCGTGCTGGAAGTGAATGGCAAAAGTAAATTTCATTTAGTCCTAATGGGAAAAGTCTCGTAGAATGATATGTTTTGGAGAGGCAAGGTTTGATTTTGGTTTGATATTTCCATTTATAAACTAATACTTTTGAAACATATTTTGGTTGCTTCTAGTGTGCCCAATAATATTATTCGCAGGCGAAGCATATGCTATATAATGCTCCTGAAGTTGAAAGACCTTTCTCAGTAGAAGTATGAATACAGTCAAGTTCCTCGATAATATGTAATGCACGGTATCTATGCGCATCATTCCCATCTTCGAAAATATTGGGTCGTCCAGCAGAGGTAAACTATTCCTTTGCAAAAGATTATACCACATACACAAGATACAGTAACTCATTTGAACCACTTTCAGTAGCATTTCTAAAAGAAGATAGAGTTAATTCTTCCAAATATAGCTGATCTAGTAGCTGAAACTGTGCACAATATTATAACGTTTCAGAGAAAAATGTCACGAAGCAGAAAAAAGCTGCATCATTTTAAATTACGATTTAATTCAATAATTCAGCAGTTTTTTATAAAAGCTGAACTTGTAACACAAATCCAGGCGCGCAAGATGTAGGAAAAAATCTAAAAAGTAACAATTTATGTCAAGAAACAACAGACTGCCACACAATAATTATCACAACCTTTGGCAGAGCTGAAGAAACAAAAAATTAAAAGAAAGCAGAGTTAATTCTTCCAAAAATACAGCTGATCTGGCAGCTGAAATTGTGCACAATATTATAACGGTGACTGCCTTCTTTTTTTCAAGAAAGTAGGAAAAAACATGCATGTAGCACATAATGGAAATATACTGGTCGTCGAAACCTCTTGAAAGAATTCGAAATCTGTTCCACCCGAAATAATTTCAAAAAAATATAGATCTTATTCAGTAAAATTTCGCTTTCTCCGGCTTGCTTCTGCAATAAAAGGCACTTTGAAAACAAGACTTCAGAGAAGTGATTTGTGCAATGCAGTATTTGCTTAGAAATGTGTAATTAAATAGGCATGTTAAATGCTATTGGGAAACTTACCTTATCCATAGGGCGAGGATAATACCTGCACTCTGCGCTAAAATAATAGTCATGAAAAATGAAGACGACAAACAGGACACATTCGCACAGCTACCCCCAACTTGTGCACTTGGCTGGAAAAGAAATAAGTTGTAGTTTATGAAAAACTTCTTTTATTGCCGTTTACTAAAAAGACAATAAAAAAAAGCGCTGAAGCATGCAGAACGAAATAATTGGTCACATTTTAAAAGCAAAAAGAACATGAGATATTTGAGAAAGTGTTCGGAGGATAGAGAAATAAGGATAATGAGTATTCTACGGAAGCACATAAAAGCAAGCAGCTGTTTCACATGTAGGATTCGGTCTCAAAAGAAAGTACTTCAAGCCACTGCAAGCTGATGTTTCATGTTTATTTTCATCACTTATCAAAATTTTGAATGGGAAATTACCGCTCCAAGTTGCGCCGTTCTAATTTGCCGTACATCATTTTGTATTGTTTCAATAAGAGATCGTAAAGCCGGATCTGGCATAATGCCGGACGAAGGTCCCATTGCACTTCCACTACCCATTTTTTGCTCGAGATTGTAGGTTCGAGTGAATATTTCATTTACATAGCTCTTCATATCTCGGATATTAGATGTTAAGTCCCGTAGCGACTACAACAGAAATTTCACAACAAATATTAAAGTTTTCTAGCCCACATATAATCAATCAATCGATTGCAGTAGATTTCACGAAAAGTTATCGAAAAGGATAGTGACCTGCAACGCTTCATTCTTTTCATGCTGCTGGAAACCTTCAATAGCAGCAGTAGCCACTTGACCTGGTCCACCAAGAGCAGCTCCACCAGCTCTGACTGCACATTGTTGTACCAGTGGAAATTGGACATTTTGCTGTTGACTAAAAGTGATGTTTCGAAATATTTTTCAATTTTCTATCACAGTATTTTCACGCATGAAAGGACAGTCAAGGATACCTGATATCCTGTAATCGACTTTCCAAATGTTGTAGAATTTGACGAATATTTGTTTGCATTTCAAGAATCATCCTCATTTCTCTCTGTGATGTATCTTCGTATATTTCAGCGATCTCTTCATCAAGTGTGTCTGGTTTTGCTTTTTCCGGATACTCTTCCTTGAACCTTAAAAAAAACTCTTCATTCTATCTTCGTTCTTTAAAATATCATAAACGAGAACAGCTAAAGAAGTATTCAAAAAGTAGAGCCAATTCACAAAATTAAAAATCTTATTGTGGATAACATTCATACTTTTGTCGTTCTTTTTCATATTCTTTCATTTGTTTTTCAAATTCAGCATCATATTTTTGTTTCTCCTCTTGTGGAAGCGCAGAAGGCGCTGCTGTTCTATCGGTATATAATGAAAATACGCTATACTCAACAATATCATGATCATCTGCTAAACCACCCGTAGCAGCGGAAATACCTGAAAATTCAGAAATTTTATTTTTTTTGAAGGGAAGAATATTTTTGAAACATAAAATCTGTAGCTATTGTTCCATTTATAATGAAACTTCAACCGACTCAACAAGATTATTCTACTGTTATAATTTGCAGTACATACCGAAAAACCCGTTTTTCGGCAAAAATATGTTTTCAGAGCGAATACATGATTCATAACGGGGTATAGCTTGCAGACCATCGGATAATGAAACGGTAACAACATTGTGAAGATACTCAATTTTCAAATGTACTGGATATGGCTTGTTACGAAAATCTTTCTGACAGCCTGAAATTCCAGGAATTTGGTATTTTTAATAAAAAATAAAAAAGTCATTAGTCTGTAAGTCATTAGATGTAAATCCTTAAAAGATGTAAATCGTAACTGTTACTAATTTAATTCTTTATCGAAATTAAATTGAAGTTCAAGAATCCACCTGAAAGCATCTGTTGCGAGCCATCTGTCTGATGGTCATACTGCCTGGTGCCATCGTTAATCATCAACGCCACGAATGGATTATTTTTTTGGGCATCATTATCAAACGAATCCAGAAAAAGCCCCATTCCTGTCCAGTAGTCGTTAGCTCCAAACACCTCAAGTAAAGAAGAATGACCTTCCTTCGAGGTGAGTGAGGTCAATAACTTCACCAAGATTACAGAAGAAAGCACATTCTTATGACAATCGCTCTTGCAAACAAACAGTTATACATCATACATCCCAGTAATCAAATGATGAAACAGAACCTACTATAATGATTAATGCAATAACTGTTATTAAATCCAGTCCATACTGAAATTAATATCAATTATTACGTATTATCGGAAAGTTCAGAAGTAGTTAGGTGGGGTCTACCGATCATGATATCCTTAATTGTTAAATATGCTTGAAAAACATAAGATGGTTGCAAAAAATTTACTTACAGGACCAAGAGTAGGTTGTTGAGCAGTATACCAAATAGCAATACCATCAGCACCAATACGACCCTGTCCGACTACTCGAAAAGCTACTTGGACTTCAAAATGATTTGACTCAGCCATTACTCGCTTGTTCCAAGCAAGTCCTAAAATTATTATATTTGAATATTGAAAGACCATAATTGAGAGACCTACCATTCTTCTTAAGTGCTTAAATCATCGATAACGGTACGCCAGTGCATGACTTTGCAGCAAAAAGAGATACCAGACTTACCCTTTCGACTCCTCATGGACGGTGCTAATCGAAGTTGTTCATTGGAAGCTACTGCATCACCAGTAATGGTCCAGAATGGTATAGTACCGTCACGTAAAGATAAATCAGGCGCACGAAAACTATGCTTGTATTCAAAACGTCTTTGCACAGGTCCAACTGCTGCTTGTGTCAGTAACAATAACTTATATATTGTTATCAGTGATAAAAATGGTATGAGGGTGCACATTAGAGTTGCCCTGAAAACTGAACTAATAAGTAACATCAATGATAATCATGAAAAGCAATAATGGAGTTAACTATAATAAATTTAGGTCCCGGCGAAGCTGATAACGGAACTTTCTCTACGTATGAAACGTTTCAAAAAACAGTTCGATATAATACAGTTAGTTGTACCGATTAGACATGAACAGGCAAACCAATTTTCCCTCTTTCGACTCGGCCACATTTCTTCATCCTATACGGACAAATGTAGGATTTTAATACAGCAAAATGGTAATACTCTGTTTGCGTATGACTAACAAAATTAGTAGTAGGAATGTGATATTTTACTTATCACACATATATCACTATCTAGATTAACAAAAAATACATTAACAAGAGACAGTTTCCATACGACGTTATTTTTCTAAAGACAAGACGGTGATATAAGACAAAAACCGATGTTCTTCGAAACCGATTTAAGAACTCCCAATTTATACTCATAGTCTTACCCTCCCATCAATATTTGTCAATGACAGAAGGATAGAGTCTGAAGTTTCTGCTGCAAATGTTCAGTTATTCTTCGAAACTGATAATAGAACAAGTGACCAAATGATTTATAAATATATATATATATGTCAACCGTCACTTTTAATACTACCATGATATCACTTTAAATTTAATGACTGAATATCATAGCTTTGCGACACCTCTTGCACTGATTAACAAATGATAATGAATAAACCGGGAGATGCATTGCTGAAGTGCCGTGAGATACCGCAACAGAGGTACAAAATTTCAGGAGAGCGACCTCATTTCTGTTCAATGTATTATTTTTCTCATGTTTTCAATCAAAAGCAAAAATTCTATAAGTTCAATTAACAATTAAATAATGATCTAATCTCAGTGTGTGATGATGGCGTAGAGATAAGGGAAAAAAGGATGCAAACCGGATTAAACACAAACAGTCGCCATCCATTACTCTAAAACTTACGTGTTACTATCCTATTCAGTGTAACAATTCAATTACTCTTGCTATGTGTCCCTTCACACAGTATGCTACTGTAAGCCACCACAGTCAATAGAATATTAGGACAATACGATGAAGAGATAAAACAGAATAATGTAGAGGAAACCCTTTGTTCAGAATGACACTACTTCCAGTCGTCCGAGCTTATCAAACAAAATTTAACAATTGCCTCGATTACAGCCTAGATTGCTTTCCAGGAATGGAAAGAAGGTAAAAATCTACTAAACTTGGAAAATTACATTTGATGTACAAATGGTTACGACATGGTCAACATCAGAAATTAAAATTTTCCTCTGGGAAAGAGACTTTATTTTTATATAATTAAATCATGAAAAACATAATAATATAATCAGTAATAAAATATCCATAACAGCACGTCTTGAATAGCTCTACATTCAGGATACTGTTTAGAATTAGGCGATAAATTGCTGTGACACACACATTCTATTATATACTACACATTATATACTAAACAAGTATATAGTGGTTCATTTGGAAACAAAATTTCGATCAGGTACAATCTGCATATCCTGGGACTGCAGAAGTGTAAACAAACATCATAGTTTTCTAATCAATACTGTCCAACTCATCGAAATACTTTGTCAAATAAATGGTCGTGACGCATACAGAACATACGATACATTATAACGGGAGACAGGGATAGGATAACGTAAGCAAAATATACCTATGAGTTATGCTTGGAAAAGTAAATGAACCAAAAAACTACAAAAAGCGTTATGACAATAAAATGAGACATAACTTGTAGAGATAATGCACAAGGAATTTACTGAAAGGATGTGTATGCTATGATAATAATATATAGCAAATGAGATGACGGAAGAATTTTTTTTGAAAGAACATATCTCTCGACTTGAAAAAAGAAACATGCAAGAAGAGAAACTGATTGGACAAAACTGATGTAATGAGTTCCTCGATGAAAGTTTAATTCCAAACCAACAAGTCTCTCGGAAATGATGTTGGTAGTAAGCCATTTCAATAAGTCCATTTGTAAGTTTATTCTTTCATTATTTGAATCATCTGAAATAGGTAATTGGGCGTTGCTGGTCTTTCCAACAGTCTAGCAGCTTCCAATATGTTTCGTCTTCTAACACTAATATTACCAAGCTCACGCGTCATAAGTTGGGCAAAGTTAGATTTCGCGCAGAAATCTTCATACTAACTCCACAAAAGTGTGGAACACTTTCAACTGCATAAACCGTAACTGGCAAAAATGATTGCATTTTGTGTTAGACTTTTCACGCGGATCAAAATTTTTTACATAGTCGATGCTGAAAAAACGAAACAATAAAATTAAAAAACAAGTCTATGAAATATCATTTTCTGTAGAGCAACATTTCTCGGGCGACTGGTCCAACAATTCGAGTATATTCCTCCATGAATGTTTCTGTTTCTTTAAAATCTGGTAGCGTCAATAAAATTTGGTACGGAAAAATATTCCTGGAAAAAAATTTATTCATGATAATTGCGAACCATAATGTAACAAGATATGTTTCAAGTAAATACAATTAACTCACATTTTGTAAAGACATCTTACGGACTCTACTGGACACTTTTCAGCTATCGGAGCATCTGGGGCGAATGCTTCGATTCGTTCGCCATATCTCTCTATCATTTCTAAGCACTTTTCCAGAGGTACCCACGTGAAACTACGATCGCATAACAAATCGGATGGATGGAAGCGCTGCTTGTAGCGCATTTTTTGACATGAATGAATATAAAACCCCATATAGTAGTAGTGTAGCTGTGGTCTTTCTTTTGCAAGCTCCTGAGTAAATGCAATTTCCCTGGAATTTACGGAAATTTGAACTCATAATAATTTGAAAATCCAAAAGACCCAGAAAACACCTTGTTAGTGGTAAAAATTTCTTTCCTGATTCCGAAATTTCCAAAAAAAAATGACTGAAAAAGCTTTTTCTACTCTCAAACAAGTTCTACATTACTAGATCTTTTTTTTTTAATTAAAAAGCTACATTTTACCCAGTTTCATCAAGTAATCTAGCCAGGGAGTTTATCTACAAAGAATCAGAAATACTCCAAAATTCCTTAATCCAAAAAGAGCAATACCACAAAACTACAAAATCTTAAGTTTAAAATGCAATTTTTTTTCCGGTATTTTTCGAATTGCACGTCGCAAAGCAGCGTAAAGCAAGCTGAACTTAATTTACCTTTATTCGAATTATTGTAGACCTGAACAATTAACCAATAATTAAAATCTCAAAGTTCACGACCATACCGTAAAGCTGTGTATGTTCCAAGGGCGAGAAATTCGTAGTCGGGATCGTAATAGAGGTATTTGGCTGATAAGCAGCGTGGTAAAATATCCACAACACCAACAGCTATTAAACGGCCATCAAGATAATACTGTTGATGATATGAACCAAGCGCCACGCTCTGGTAGTTTTATCATATTTTTCTTATCAATTTTTTAAAAAGGACCATAAGTTCGAAAAATATCTTTGGGGTGCAAACTGGCAAGTAAGGAAAACTTTTTCCAGTGGCGCTTTTCAAAAATCGAAAAAGAAAATTATGAGAAGTGATAGAAAAGGTAGCTATAAAAACAGAAAATTAAAATTGCTGGAATAAATTGAATATAACATACCTTACTCTCGTCTCTTTCGTTATTGAATAGTGGTGAATCTGCAAGGAAATTCCGATACCCAGTTCTATTACAGCGAGTATCATGATGAACATTCGTTTGGTATTTCTCAAACAATTTGAAACTTTCTTTGAAAGTCTCATAAAACTCAGATGAGTTCGAATCAACCAAACGTACCTACAAGGAACAAGATATAGAATTTTATATGTTGAAAAAAAAAGAAAAGAAAAGAAAAGTATTTCTAAATAAGTTTAAGTTCGAAATGAAGCAAAATAATGATCACTGAAATTTGCTTGTCTAATAAGAACTTTCAGTCCAAAAAGAAAAAGCGGAAGTAAAGAAAATTTTTACAACGGAGAAATAAATCTGCATTTATTTGAAACTGCCAAATAACCAGTTACTTCTAATTTATGCTTGAACGTTTCCGGATCGTAACTGATAATGAATGATTTCAAAGTTCTTCTCCGAAATTCTTCCTTTTCATGACGCATTCTTTGGGCCTAAAATCACTCGGAAATACGTTACGACTCTTTGGATCAAAAAAAAAACCGTACCTCAATGTAATATACTTCATGCCTTAGGATCCGATTGTAATATTCCATTATAGAAAATTATTCACAAGTTATCTACCTCTTTAGTCTAATCCGTACAACATTTTTGAACTGGAATTTGTTTCTACATTCTTAAACATATATTCATATACAAAAAAAGAAAATCGGTATTTTCAGCAATAATTCAACTATTGAAAGACCCTATTTGTAGATTACATCGTGATATAAAAAGTCCAAACCTCCTTAACATTGATACCTTTCTCGCGCATTTTTTGGAAAGCTCTTTCTTGCCTTTGGACCTTCTTCTTTTCTTTTTTTCGAGATCCATGATTCACTATTTCCTTCTCATTATCTTGTACCTCTTTGACTTGAGAATTTGATGAAACAGCACTACTTTCAGCTGCCCTTTGTGTTACCTTATGTTCTGGTATTTTTGGTCGTTCGTTCGGTCGAACATCTCTCTGGAGAAAATCATTCATTCGACGCAACACTTTTTTTTGTGCTCTTGACAAGCGGAAATTGTTGACATCAAGTCTAAAATTAAGCTTCTCAACATTAGAGCTAACTTTATGCCGAATCAGATACTTTGAATTATTGCACATGATGATGAAGATTATTCAAAGAAAAAAAACTCTAGGGTGAAATAAATACCTGATTGTATATTGTGGACAGCATGTACTGGCAATCATCGGCTTGTATAAATATTTACCAGATCTGAAAATTGAACACTGCTTAAACGGACCGTAAAAATAAAGACTGAAAAATGATACCTTCTGATCCCTCTATCAAGTAATTCGTTATAGTGCGATACGGAGAGACTGCGTGTCCACATACCTGAAATTTGGGACCTAGAATTCAGCAAAAGCTACAAAATCCTGATAATATAAGAAAGAAAATCTTGAAAACAAAAGTGGCTTGATTTGCTTTGTACCAATGTTCCTTTAATAAAGCGGAGAAAAACTTTGGAACAACAAAGCATTTCTGTCACTTTTGCTTTACTTGCCGAATTACCGGTTACATCCTCTATCTAAGAGCTGATTAAAGTTTTCGCATGATAAATGATATGCCATAATTCCTGCAATATTCAGTGCGATGTTTCACAATTATTTTAAATTGATAACTTCTCCACCTCAAAAAAAGACTCATTGAATGTCCAACTCAAATTAAAAAGTAGACGAAATTTTGAGAAAGTTAATGCCCACAGAAATGACTAAAATAATTTCAAAATGAACAAAGTGGAATACCAATGCTGGTTGGACTTGCTCCCTCTCGATGGCAATAACCACACAATCCACCTTCACTATAACCGATATATTCAACAATGGAATATTGCTGCTGCTGCTGCTGCTGCTGCTGCTGCTTCTGCTGCATTGTGACACCATTTGTATCTGACATCATTAAATATTCCTGTTTGAAACATATATGTTAGATGCAAGAGCATACAACAGTTGCACGCTAGCACGATGGTGTCATATATTAATCGGACAAGAAAATGTCTATCAGTAACATCTGAAGATCTCCAGTTATCATTTATTCCTATCTTCTGACAAACAATCAAATCATGAATTTTCTTTTTCCTCTTGTTTCTTCTCTTTTTCCTTCTTTCGCGATGTACGTTTCTTCAACGATAGTTCCTCTTTTTCCGCTAATTTGGCTGCCTATAATTTCCCTATTTTTCGTTAGTTTGACCAAGGAAATAAAATAAAAAAGACAAAGAGAACACATGAAGTCTTGATTAAGTAAGAACTGACGTTGTGTAACCTAGAAAACCGACATTTCGCTAGAGAATGATGAAAAAACACATTTGATTAGTGGACGATAACCGCTAACTTTTTTCTTTGCTTCCGTCATTTTTTCAAATAAAATTGGGAATCGTGGATCATTAGGCGAAATTTCATAGCCATAGTATTCAAGCATATCTTTAGCTTGCTGTTCCGCTTCTAATTCTTGTTTCGACTTCATCGGAACCACCTCTTTTTGATTCTCTAAAAATTCCCTCAACATTTCCGGATACTTATGTTCAAGTGCGGCCACTTCTTTAAGCCTGAAATGAACGACGTTTAAACATGAACCGTATAGCAGACTGCGACCAATGAACACACATCGTAACTCAAACATATGCTATGTATGTCTATATAACAGCAAAAACATCCCTGTTCTGCAATGTTTGGCATTTCCATGCATGTTTACCTGGTTAAGCTAGCCACACGTTCTGACCTTTTCGCATTTTCTACAGCTTTTACGACATCATTGTATTTCATATACCACCCTACTACTTCTTCCTCTTGAATTTCCTGAAAATAATTATCCTTATATCTTATTTGCTTGATTAATTCTGCAATGAAATTACAAAGTGTTTTTTTTTCGAAATACTGAACTGATTGGAAAATTGCGCGACAATTTGGAAAGATGATGAGCCAGCAAAATAAAAATTAAAATTTGCTTTGAAAATGCTGGCACCTAACCGAAGTTTAGTTCTGTTCAGTGTATCTAGCAATGAATGATTAGTAGCAATACAATGTTTCCTGAAAACTGTTTCATGGTGATATTTTTAAATTCAGAAGTAAGGGAGAAAACTTTAGAAAAAAAGTAAATGAGCCATAAACGAAATGCAATCCTCACTTCGATAGTGGGCCATAATTCTTCAGGATTAACACCACTAGCTAAACCATAAGTACCGAAACGTTCGCGTTTTGCCCATAATTCTCTCTCCCACTCATAAAACACAGGTGGCAAGCGACCTTCAGCAATTAAACGATGCCTTTCGGTCAACCTGCAATTGGAATGGTGATCACCAGGCTGACTGGGCTAAATGATTAAATGAATAAGGCAAGAAGTACAGTGAGAGCAGAAGGTAAAAGGTCATGTTTTTTTTTTAAGATTACCTCGAAACAACTTTGGTGTTCCCACTGCCGCACTGTTCTTTCAGCAGGCTTGACGAGCTGTCGACAGCATCCGATGTTCCTACTGTTGTTGTTATGTCGAGGAAGGATGAATATCGAACCACACCTATTACAGATAATCGGCCACACTGCATCATTATCATCACATTACATATCTATGAAGATGGGACAGCCTGAAAGCACGTTCCGGTTATTTCTCGGAACGAAGTAACAGCTGACTTGCAACATGTAGGTCCTCATTGTTGGCTACTCGACTCGTGCCGTGTTTTGGAGGTGAGGTGTGCCTTGGATGTTTAATGAGAAGAAGAGGCTTTGGTGTTTGCTAGGCGAGAATTACATCTGATGGGCCTGTCGGAATTCCATCTGACTCGCTTTTTCTAGGTCTTAACAATCCAACAGAAGATGCTGTCTCTGTTGAGATCATCAAACCCTATTTTACTGTTAATGAATTCTCATCCTTTTCCCCTAAAAAGTATTCATTTAAAAATCCCTTATATGCATCATTTTAAGAGGCTTTCTATGATTGATGTTGAAACCACCAAAGTGGCTTTGGTTTTTGGATCTTACTGTTGGTATCGTATTCGTTTCCGGTATTGCATCCTTTGTTGTTTGGCGACGTTCGGAAGATTTCAGAAAGAGTACTTTCTCCCATGTGCCACGAATTGCTGATTATTTTTATCGGGTTTATTTTTAATTTATTTTTTGTTTCTGATATTACCGTCTTCTTCAATTTTGACTTTGTCTCCATGAAAAGTGATATTATTATTGTCGGCAAGTGTTTATTTAAATTTTAGTTTTTTCTCGCTAAATTTCCAGGCAGAAGATATAATTGGTGGACAGCTTCGAGGCACACGTTTAAAGAGGAAAGATTACCACAGTTGGTTTCCGGAAGAAGACGACAAGCAGTGACTTCTTGATTACTCCGTTATGATAATCAAACTCTCTCATATTAAAGCTTGTATGCTCCCTGTTGGTTTTTTATGTAAGTAGTAATCATTTAATTTGCATATTCTTGTGACTGGTCAGTTAAAAATTCAAATTCCTGCTTGGACCTCATGTCCATATCTTTTTTGGTCAAGTTCAGCAATTCAGACAGGTTCCTTCATTTATCTTTATTTGGTAAAACAAGCACCAGCAATATTAGCTACCCTCTCGAGGAAAGAAAGGCAAGTGCAAACAATAAAATGGACGAATGCGAGCATTTTGAAAACACGAGTAATAGAACGAACACTTTGAGGAAACAGTTTACGAAAAAAACTAGTTAACTTCTTCAAAGATGCCAAATTTCGCACTCCATGTACTTCTATTTCAAACATATTCCAGCTGGTATGTCAGCTTGTGTGGTATATGAAAATTGGAAGAAGAGACAGCCTTCAAAAGCAATGCCAATTCAAAGTTTGGGACGTTTTGAGAGAATGATGGAATCTATGGAAGGATCTATGATGCGGTCTAAAACCAATAACTGATTTGATTAGCTTCGTTACGTGAGGCAATATGTAGAACCTTTATATATTCTACTTATTGAATTCCTCAAGTATTTGACTCATCATTTCCAAATAATTTTATTTTGAATATGAACAAAAAATGAGGGACAAGTTTTCAATGGCTTGTACTTTCCATGAATAAAGTTCTTATTCG